CGCATCAAGGTGACCCAGGCCTCAGTTTTATCTCATGGCCACTGTGCCCACTTCTTGTAAGAAAGATCAAGGGTGCGACATCCACCTGCCCCAGCCCCCGCGGGTGCTCAGCAGGGCATGCAGAGAGACTACGGAGACGGCCACCTCTACCGTCACAGACAGTTGTGGTGCCGGTGCTGCAGGAGGCATATTTGATTGTCCTCTCAGGCTTCCTCACAGGTCACAGAGCTGAGAAGACATTGCTAAGGGACAGCAGGAAAAACCAGCAGCGTAGGCAGGTTTGCCCCTCACGTGGGAGACCATCCTGGCCTCTCTCTCAGGGCTCAGAAGGGCAAGGCGGCTTACTCTGAGTCACACAACAACCTGGCCCTAAACCAGGCTCAGCTGGGCACCTCTGAAGGCCAGGGCCTCTGAGGACACCTCAAAAGCACATGTCCAACTGCCCAGAAATGGCTTGCAACAGGGGACAAGCCACAGTGCCGCACCCTCTTCTGCCCCCCCCCCACCCATGATGGCAGCCACAGCTTAGGCGGCTCGTGGTCATTGCTGACCACACACACCTCATGACACCACTCAGGGGGAGGAGGGGACCTTGAGTGCTGGGGTGCCCACATTTCTATGGCAGGACAGCCATCTCCACAGGCCTAAGGACACCCAGCACCTTTGGCCTTTCTTGMCAATCAAAACAAAACCTCGGTCAGGGTGAAGCGTGAAACATCTCACCCAAGAACACAGACTCGGCGCTGCCACCCAGCTCACGCCAAACCCCAGCTCCCTCAACAGAAGGAAGCAACAGGAAGTCTCACACACACACAGGCAGGTGACCACCGGTCCAATCGGCCTGAGCCCTGGCAGAGAGTCTGGTCTCTGTGAGGAACCCCACTGCTTCCTCGTGCCCCCCATCCCTGTCCCCACCCCTCCGGGCATCAGTAGGGTGGGGGTGAAGGCAGGCCAGGCAGCAGTCGGGCCCCCCACACAAGGCCACCAATGCAAGGCATCCAGGCTCTTGAGATGGCCATCACCACCTCACAGTGCAGCAGGAGGACCCCTCTCATGGTGGGGTGGCCCAGGGACCTCTCTATCGGATTCTCCAGCTGGCAAGGCTGAAGCAGGGCAGAACTGGACGCCCCAGCCCCCCATTTTCTTTAGGCCCTGCTCTGCAAGAGCCCAGCCAGTGCTGAGCTGAGAGTCAGAAGTGAAGGTCTCCACAAGGCAGACAGATCCCCGAACCTGGCATGGGGCCCCGGTCACCATCTAGGGAACACAGGTCCCAGACCAACAGGGCACAGTGGCTTTCTGTGGAAGGCAGGGTTTCAAAGGGTCTGAGACCCTGCRTCTCCTGAAAGTAGAGGACACGGACAGGGTCCCCTTCCGCCCCTTCCCCAGRGTCCCCGAGGGACAGAGCAGAAGCAGGCAGGGCCAGGAAAAGTCAGCAGGCCACCTCAACAGGTTCTGGACAGTGGCCGGGGCGTTTTCCCAGGACCCATGGCCAACAAGGGAAGAGGGATTTCTAAGTCACATGGGACAGTGTCAGCTCGGTCACCCATGTAGTCAAGAGTTAAGGAAGACAGGAAAGTCAACAGGCTCACCAACACAAGGCACCCCAAGAGGCAGCCATGGGGATGCACCGGGTTCCCTATCACCGCTCTGTGGCCACAACACGCCAGGAGCCCCTCAGTGCCACCCCCTTCTAGGCACTGTCATCCCTGTGCTGTGACTTTGCCCTGCCAGGCACGTGTCTCCCACACCACAGAGGTGAGCCTCGATGGAGGCTGAGCAATGCCCAGGTGGGACCCCAGCAGCCAGGTAGCCATGCCCAGAGCCAACAGGGGAGTCCTAAGCTGCCTGGCAGGCTGTCTGATGGGAAAGGGGTCTATACAGGACCAGAGCTGGCCAAAGAGGGCCAAGGCCACATGGGATAGTCCCAGGAAAGAGAAGGGGTGTGGGAAGGAGATGGGAGTCTGACGGTATTTTCACTTCCTTCATGGTCACTGTAACACGCTTTGGTGCCAAAACCAGAAGTTTACTCAAAAGCTATTTTTTAAATGGCTTACTCCCCACACCAATAACAACCACGACCATAATAACAGTTCCAGTTTCGGCTTTGGCCCTCTAGAGAGTTCAGGTGCGGCATCTTGCCCTTGGAGGTGAGATAAGCACACACAGTTCTCCCTGCAAACTTCTTTCAACACCGAGTCATGGGAGGAAATCAGATGTCCTCTAAGCTACTCGCTAGGTCCAAGATCGGGACATTTCTGCCCCGTAGCAGGGAACCCTGGACAAAGTCAGCAAGCAATGCACCTCTCCAGTCTCCAGTGGGGGGGGAAAGGGGCCCAGAAGACCCCAGCCCAACCAGGTCATGAAAAGGAAACGGCCACCAGGCAGACTCCGGCATACCCAAAGGGAGGAGGCCACTGCCCGCAGAGGCACTCTGGGCCAGAAGAGAGGGACAGAGACCCAGAGACCACAAGGCCCCCCTGACTGAAGGCAACACTCTGACAGACTGTCCCTCCACCGTGCAAACCTGGACTCCCAGGAGGCCCCTCTCCCAGTGCCCAGAAACACTGGGGACCAGGAGGCAAAATGAACCTCACCACACTGTGCAACGAGAAGGCACCCACCCCTGGCACAAAGCCAACCTGGCTAGCAAGAGTGGCCACCTGTCGCCCTCCACCAGCCAGGCAGGCCCTCTGCACTGTTGGTTGGTGAGGCCAGGAGTGACCCTCTCTCAAGGACTCCAGCGCCCCTGCCCTAGTCCCCGTCCTGACACAGGGGCTTCTTCCGTGTAGAGCCCCTGCTGCCTCCATCACCCCACTCAGCCCTGCCCCACAGCCCAGTCACCACACACAGGGGACCCTGGGTGGGTTCCATCCTCCACTCCAGGCTCATGTCCTTCTTCCCTGGTCCCAAAAGGCCCCTTGCCAACTCCTCTTGGGCGGCCTCAGGAGGTTACTCCATGACCCCATGACCTCATGATTTGTGATGAGGAAGTCCCAGGCTAAACCTGTCACACAGAGGTTCTCAATAAAGGGGCTCTTCTGAGTTGGTTCAGAACTCTGCCAGAGAAAACCCTCCCAGATCAGTCCCGGCAGAGGGGGGTGGCCTCCCGGCATGTACCTCGGCCTGGGTGAACAGGAGAGGCACCTCTTGTTGGGGGAGTGTGGGGACAGCTTCCCCACCAACTGGGAGGGGGTGCCCAGTAACCCCAGGGCAAGGAACAGCACTCTCTAGTCCAGAAACCACCCCCAACCTTTCCACTCCTATCTAGAGCCAAGGAGAAAAGACCCCTGGATGGAGGCCAAGCCCCACCCCGCGGCCCTGCTCACCACAGGCAGACCCAGCGACTGAACGGATGGACGGCCTTTCCTTAAAGGGAAGGAGAAKTAACAAGCTCCCAGAGTCATAGGCTCCTGCACTGCCTCAGCCAGATCAGCAGGCTCAGGCTGCCGAGGTCTAACTCACATCCAGCCTGCTGCAGCACTCCTCTGCCCTCCGCCCGCAGTGGCATTCTGAGGCCACAGCACCAGTGCGTGTTCCGAGAGCCATGCTGGTCATCTAGCCAGAGCAGGGAGGTGGGGAGCCAAAGCTCCTACCAGGCTCCAGAACCAAGAATCCTCACTTCCCCTTCCTGGATCCTCCCTCCCCTCTGCCTCTCACCTAGGTAGCAGGAACACAGGGTGCGCACACCCCAGGACCCCACCCACATGTCCATTCTATTCCATCAAGGCCATCTCTTGCCCCCAAGTCCACCTTCTGGCAAGGCTTAGAATCTGTGATGCAGGTGGGAGGAGAGAGGATCTCCTCAGCCCYTCCTGAAGGACCCTGAAGGACACCACAGACCCCTATCACACCAAGCCACACAGAACCAGGAGGAGAGGCAAGACCTTGGAGCCCTTCGTCTTGGGGGAAGGGCTCACGACAGGTCAACACCCACCAAATGAGCCCGGCTTGCACACCCCAGCAGGTCACCCTGCAGGGGCTGGAGGACACAGTAACTGAATCCCATTTCTGGGCCAAAAATGCAGGCATCCTGCAGTGTGGCCTGCGGCCCTGGCACCCAGCTTGCCCTGGCTCGCCCAGCCTGCGTCAGCCTGGAAGGCCAGCTAACTTTACAGGCCAGTGGGGTAAGCTTACACCTCCAGCCAGCGCTCTCTCTCCCAGGCCGGCCTCTGCCTGACAGCTGCCCCCTCCCAAAGAGGGAGGGCCTGTAAACACCCCCTGTGACAGGAGCTGCCTCCTCTTCCAAGGCTGGCCTAGGGTTGCCTTTTATATAATCTTCCAGGGCCTGGGCTGACACAGCGAACGTGAGGGCAAGGTTAAGAAATTTGCATGCCCAGAGCCTTTGCATCCAAGAAAAAAGAAGGGAAGGAAAAAACCCACTGGCATTTTGCATGACTTGGATTTAAGGGCTCTCTCACATCCAACTGGTGAATAGATGGAGCCCTGGGAGCACCTAGAGGCTATGCACAGGGCTTCCAAAGCTTGCTCAGCAGGTCCCAGGACAGCACCAGGCACCCTCCCTGGGTCACAGATCCCTGGGTCAGAGGAAGTCCTGCAGATAGCCTGTAGGCTGAGGCACCTACACCTTCCAGGACACAGGAAGCTACTAATTTAAGGGCAGTTGAAAGGCTCCAAACTACCCTTTGAGAGGTCTTGACGCCCTCACACAGCCTCTAGGCTCTATTGGATCAGTGAAGTGGGTTAGGAGGGCTCTTCAAGGTACACAGCCCCCAAGTGCCCCCTCCCTAACGCCCCCCACAGCATGGACACACACAGTACAAAGCCCAACATTGACCTCTGCCATCAAGTGGGCTGACAAGCCCCAGTCAGCACAGACACAGATCGGCCTCTTGTGTGCTGTCCACACAGGCCACCCACACAGAAGGTGACACACTCGGCAGCCCCCGCCATCCTCAGGGCTGCCGAAGGCCAGCTCAGGAGCAAGGACGCGCCCAAGGACGCATTCTCACACAGCCCACCTGCGGGCAGCGAGCCCTCACCTGCAGTTCGCACCAGGCCACCTCCACCCAGGTCTCSGTGTCCAGACCCTTGTAGACTGTCTTGAAGGAGCCCCGGCCCAGCTCGATGTCAAACTTAAGAAAGCGGCCGTCCAAAGAGGTGGCCACGGCCTTGAGATCGTCCTCGTCGTCCTCCTCCTCCTCCGGTTCATCCTTCCGTGCGCGCCCGGGCTCGGGCTTCGCCTCGGTGGCTCCAGCGTCCTCCTGCCTCGCCGCTGCCCCGTCCTCCTCCCGCGGGCCGCCGTCGGGGACCTGCGGGGTTGCCGCAGCAGCAGGGTCCGGGCTGGGCTCACGGGCGCCCGCAGGCTCCGGGCCGGGGTCCGAGGGGGTTCCCGGGGCGCCCGGAGGCGCTGCAGGCGCGGCGGGCGCGGGGGCGGCAGGGCGGCCACGGGCGCGCTCTGCGATGAGGCGGCGCGTCTTGCAGAGCAGAAGCACCCGGCGCTGCAGGGGCTGCGGGGGCTGTGCGCTCTGTGCCTCGGTGGTCTCCAGGCCCGGCGGCTCCTCCTGGTCCGACTCTACCACGCTGCGCCGCAGGAAGCGCTGGGGCCCGGGCCGCGCCGCCCTAGCCCGCGGCTCCGCCATGCCCGCCGGCCCCGCGCCGCGCCCGGCCTCCATCAGCGCGCCGGGGGCGTCTCGGCGGCCGCCATCGCGGTCCATCTCTGCGGGCCAAGGACACATAGGCCCGCGTGAGCGCCGGTCCCGCCGCACCTGCCCGAGCCACGGGATGAGACAGCGCCGCCCCGGGGCCCGCGCCCTGCCCAGCCCCGACCTCGGAGGGGGCCTGCCGGGCTGTCCCTGGGGGCTCCGGAGAGAGGGGCTGCAGACTGCACTGGGAGGTCCGGATTGGAAGAGGGGACGTGCCCTGCTCAGCCCCGGGCTGCGGAGAAGGCCTGTCCTGGGCTGTCACTGGGACCCTGAGAGGGAGGACCTGCTGGATGTCCCTGAGGGCCCGGAGGGACTGCAAAGGGACCAGGAGGCCGGAGAAAAGGGACCCAGCCCCCAGGCCCGGGAGGAGGGCCTGCTGGGTTGTCCAGGGGGACGCTGCAAAGGGGACAGGGAGGCCCGGGGCGGGGGGAGGCACCGGCCAGGCGGCCGCTCCACAAAGGACGCGGGCCCGGGGCGCGGGAGGGGCGCGCGGGGAAGGGGCTGCGGCGGCGCGGCGCGCACACAAAGGCGGCGGGCGGGAGGGCTCGGCACTCACAGGGCGAGCGGGCGCCGTCCATGCCCGCGGCCGGGTGGCCAGAGAGGGCGAGGCGGGCGAGGCCGCGCTCCAGGGCCAGGGTCCGCGCTGGGAGCCGGGTCTGCGCTGGGGCGGGGTCCGCGCTAAGGCGGGGGTCGTAGCGCTGCTCCGCTCCTGCGCGCTGCTCCCTTCGGGCCGGGCCACTGCGGGACCGCGCTCCCGCGTGCTCCTGCCGGCTCAGCGCGCCTCCGCTCCCGCACCGGCTCCGGCCCAGCGCGCGGGGAGGGCGGGGCGTCCGCTCGTCCCGCCCCCGGCTGGCGCGCGGGGCGGGGCCTGGCACGCCCACCTGGCTTCGGGCGCGCGCGGACACCTGCGGAACCTCTCCTGTTGCCTCCACGGCGGCTGCCGCATCCAGGCCAACTCCTGACCTGTGAAGCTCTTTAGAACACTCCGCAGGGCTGTTGGCCATGCAGGGCCCCCATTTTTCCCTGGGAGGCGATAGCAGGCTCCTTGCCTCACAGTACCATAGCCAGAGCACCAGACCTGGGAACCTGTGTCCCGACAAAATGGGTATTTAGGAAGAGGACCAGGGTACCCTACCCTCAGGAGCCCAAGCCCGGGCTAAACACAGTCAGGGATGAGAGTGTCCTTCCTGCCCTTGCTATATTTACACCGTCTACAAGCGTCTCCCTGTCACCCAGGGAGACGGATAGCAGTGATCATGGAGCAACAGAGGGCCCGAAGGTAGAAGCTACCTACTCTAAATTCCAGAGCTCCCAATACCCAGTCTGCGCTAGAATACCGTGCCTGGGGGGCGTGGAGAGACTTTCAGAAATCCCTCGACCCAAAGTTCTCTTCATCTCTCACCTCTGCAGAATACCGCCTCTTCTGGGCATGATCTCTCCCTCCAACTTACTCCTCTCAACTCCCACAGGCAAGCCCCACTTGTGGGCATCTCTGAATCTCACTGCAGGGGGTAGACTATGGCCAGACTGTACTTATTTCTAAGTACTGCTCCAGGCACCAGGTCGAACTAGCACCTCACCCTCACCCAATCCTCCAAGACCTGTATCTCACAGTCACTGCACCCGCTTCCAGGTGAGGAAACCAGGGCGCAAGGGAGATGTCAGAGTATTCTCATCTCAGTATCCACCCCCCTGGTGTGGCACCAGGTCAGATCTGCACAACCATTTAGAGATGGATGACCATGGCCTATTGGCCCTGGAGCCTTTGGCACAAAGCAACTCATGTGACAGAAAAGCCAGCAGAGTAGATACCAAGCATTCACAATTAGAGGGAAGCATGTTCCAATCCAACTGTCACCCAGCACAGCAGGACTTCCTGGGCCCTGCTGGGTGCTAGCAGCAGGTGCTGGCTCCAACTGGAAACAACTTTATGAAGGCCAATGTTCAGTGTCTTCCCAGCTCTGAGTTCCGAGATGCACACCGTCGCCTAAAGTCGCCATACTGGAAGTATTTACACTATGGAAATTGGCAAACATCTCCCATCAGGACTTTCCCTCCAGAGATCTGGTGGTTCGGTGTGCTTGGCACTGGGTTAGGCTTTGGCATATGCCTGTTAATTTATGTTATCTAATCCCACACCTACCTTGCAGGACAGGCAAGAGCACAGAGCCCACACAAGCAGGAAGCAGATCAGCAGATGCCAGCTCTACAGGTCTGAGCAGCCCTGAGACAGTGATCTGAGCCACACCTCCCAGGCCAGGGAGGGGTAGGAGCTTCCAGCAGAGGTAGAGAGYGGATGAGAAGCCTTCTGTCTTTCTGTGCAGGCTACAGACACCTGTCTTGCCCCTCGCGTTCTGAGGGACGTGGGCAAGTCCAGCCCTTTCTGAGCCTCAGTATCCACTCTGCAAGAACAGACCTTATCATCCTGGCTTGGCCACATTAAAGGTCTGCCAGTTCCTCCTGGACTTGGTCAGTCCAGAAAGGGCATCCTGAGTCCTAGCTTGCCCATGACCGGTTTGTTCAGGCTTATCCAAGGGAAAACCAACATAGGATGGAGCTAAGCAAGTTCTAGAGCTGATGCCCACCAGCCTGGCTTCCTGCTGCTCTGACAGGTCGCACTGGCAGCCTGTGGCATCATGGCTGCCTGGTGATGGAGGAAATGGCCAGAAGTTCTCATCAGCTCCAGCATGTGCTGCCCTCACACATGTGTTGATGTTTGTGGAGAAGTGTGGTCATACCAGCAAAGCGGGGGGAACAACCCAGGATGCGGAGGGAGGGGAGATCCTGCTCCTGATCTAGGGCTGTGTGCGCTCTGACCCCCTGGGGATGATTTCACAGTTGGCTCACAGGCCTCTCATGATGGAGAACTCATTCCCTGTGCCAGCTCATGATCACTACAGTCCCCAGCTCAGGAGCTATGGTACAAGGAATCTCAAGCTAGCCTCAGGAGCAGTTCCTGGGATTCTAGCAGGTAGTCTCAGAGTTCCTTGATCAGAACTTGGAAGCCATATGTTTTTATTTTTTATTTTTGTTTATTTATTTATCGGTAATGGGGATTCAACCAGGGCTACTTTACCACCAAGATACATTCCCAATCCTTTTTAATTTTGTTTGGGAGGCTGAGACAGGAGGATGGAGAGTTCAAAGCCAGCCTCAGCAACTTATCAAGRCACTTAGCAACTCAGCCAGACCCTGTCTCTAAATAAAATATTTAAAAGGAGGCTAGTGGGGGCTGGGGTTGTGGCTCAGTGGCAGAGCACTTGCCTTGCATGTGTGAGGCACTGGATTTGATTCCCAGCACCATATATAAATAAATGAATAAAATAAAGGTCCATAAACAACTAAAAACATATTTTAAAAAATAAATTTAAAAAAATAAATAAAAGGAGGCTAGGGATGTGGCTCAGTGGTTAAGCACCCCGGATTCAATCCTCAGTACCAAAAAAAAAAAAAAAAAGAATTGAGACAGGGTTTTGCTGAGTCACTTAGGGCCTCACTAAGTTGCTGAGGCTGGCCTGGAACTTGCAATCTCCCTGCCTTGGCCTTCCAAACTGCTGGAAWTACAGACATGCATCACTGTGCCCAGTTGTAAGCCAGGACTTTGATGAGACACACTGTGTGCCCTAGCCAGTTCAACTGGACATGTCTGAGCCTCCACGATCCTTGTAGTGAGACAGGGAGAGTAAGCATTGCCTGCTGTTTTGCTGGTTGTCCTGAGGCTCGATGACCTAAGACTGTAGAAGAACAAAGCCCATGACCCAGGGTCACGTTATAGCATCTGTCTTTGATGCTGAGGACAGCCGTCCTGAAGGCTGACAGGCCAGGTAGGCGTGATTACCTCCTTTTCACAGATGTGTACATTGAGACCTAGCCTAGAGACTTCTCCACTTTAAGTAACTCTTCAAGGTCACAGAATGAAGACAGCAATTCTGYCCCATGACCCCCAGTGCCCCGATCCCGAGCCCTGGCGTGAGACAAGTTTCCCCAAGACCCACCTGAGCTAGCAGAGCACCTGCAAACACACCTGCCCCTGCAGATAAAGTTCCAGGACCATGGGGTCTGTTTACTCACCTGTGAGGTGAGCACAGTGGCCGTGCCCAACAGTCTTGGTATACAATAGGTGCTCAACAAATGTCTGTGGTAGGGAAAGACAGGGCCAGCTCCATTGCCTCTGCTCACATTAGGGAAGCTACTGGTTAGAAGGAGGGTCTGACCTGGCCTCTCAGGAGCCTGGTCCCCAGGCACTGCCCAGGTAGGTCTTCCTCTGAGGGACTCAACATCCCTCTAGTGCTCAGGGCCAGCACAGTCAGGACCCCTCTGAGTTTCCCCTTAGGGAGGACACCCCAGTGGAACAGCAGATGGGTGGGGATAGTACTGGGAGAACAGAGCCCCAGGAGGTGGGGGAATGTCCTGGGGGACCCAGGAAGGCTTTTTTGAGACCTAGAGAAGGTTGGAGCCAGACCACAAGGGGTGGCCAAGAGCAGAGGACAGTGCGTGGCTGGTGGGTCATAGGAGGCAGATAGCAGTGGGTGTCGGAGTCACACCAGGTCRGAGCATCTTCTAGCCCTGGGTCTTGCTCCCCGGTGAGATGGGAGCTCCCGGTCAGGAAGGGCCTCGGGTGGACAGGAAGGGCAGGGAAGAATGAGGCAACACTTCCAGGTGACCTAGCTCTGGGGGGTRAGTGGGTGAAGAGCCCCTTTCCTTCCACAACAGGGTTCCCTTGGAATCGTTCTGAAGTACAATACCTGAACCAGAGAGTGGCCCCAGTCTCCTAAGAGAAACTGGTTACTGTGTAGAACCTTCTTTGTAGTTCTAGAGGGAGGTCAATTTCAGAGTGATCCTCAATTCTGGTAACACAGAAGACAGAATGTAAAGTAGAACTGTCCAGCTGGGGTGTCGGTCAGTGGTGGAACACGTGCCTGGCGTATGTGAGGTCCTGGGATGAACCCTCAGCACCCCAGGAAGAAGGAAGGGGGAAAAGAAGAAAGAAAGAAAAAGAGGAAGAAAGGAAGGAAAATTGTCAGTACTGAGGAGGAAAAAAAAAAAAAAGAACACAGTTTTGGAAGAAGACAGAGCCCAACAGGCCTGCTTCTGTTTCCCCACCTGGAGGGGAGGCCTCACCAAGTCCAAGGTCAGACCTGTGACCTGGTCTCCCTCTCTGCATCCCAGATGTCTCATGTGTGCCTGCCGTTCCGCAACCTGAGGCTTGAGAAGCCCCCTCCACGTGAAGATTCTAAATCTGTGAGCCTGGGCGGGCCAGGCCTCAGGAGTTTGGAAGGTCCCAAGCAATCCTAGTGTGATGCCTGACACCCAGGTGGCTCCAGTAGGTGCTCAACAGAAGCTGCCTACCTGCCAGGTGAGTGCTTGCACCGAACAAGCAACAGAAGAGACAGACCCTGGATAGCGCTCTGTGGGGTTGTTTGGTCAGGTGGTTTCTGGGTGTTTGTTTAGGAGCAGTTCCATGCCATGAGCTCTCGGGTTGCTCATTTCTCTTGTGGGGAGGGAGTTCCTGGAACCCCATACCTCGTGGGGGCTGAATGCTGATCCCAGCTCCCAGGTGGCCCCACAGAAGACCTCAGATTTAGTTACTGTGGGTCTGGCCAATCGAGCCAGTCCACGTAGCTGGGAAGACAGATGATAGGGGCCCGGGAGGGGCCACCAAGCACCCGTTATTCAGAGGAACCCTGCCCTGCTGGCCCTGGAGAGGCAGGCCCAGAGCTGGCAAAGTGCAGGGAGGAAGGGGCTCAATACCCCCTGGGAGGAAGTAGGACACGTGGACAGCTCAAGTGCCAGGGGCCACACT